CGCCGGGAAAGGCCTCGGCGTGGGGAGCGCTCGGCGGCCGGGCGGCGTGTGGGAGGGCAGGGCCGGGCCTGCGCCCCGCGCCCGGCTCCGGCGCCGGCTGTAACCCGGGGGGCTCAGGCCTAGTGCGCCTGGCGTAGTTGGCTCGCTGTCGAAGCGGGGGTTGTCGGGCGGCGTTGGTGCGAGCTTCGCTGCGCCTGGTGCGTTTTAGCCGCAGGAGTCAAGAAATGAAATGGGGTCTTCACGGGGAGTTACAGTGCAGTGCTTGTATCGCTCCTGAGCGACAGCCAGAGCTGTAGCGCCGTACGGTTTTTGTGTCATCTTAGCTGTATGATGCTTTTGCAATTCGTTTTTGTCTTTCTGAAGTAAATTGAAATGAATGCCTGCTTCGTTGTAATGGGTAACATTAACTGTCTGCTTTCACATACTTACCAACCCGTCCACCTTAAACTTGAAAGCACAAATTGTCGACGTTTGCATTTTAGTTTTGCAAAGCATATGGGGAGGAAGCTCATATTTCAGCCTGGCTTAATCTGAGAAAATTAGTAAAAAAACTCTTTTCTGCTTTATTTCAATTAAGGGTTGATCCTTTCTCCAAAAAAGACTGGTATGATGTCAAAGCACCAGCAATGTTTAATATCCGAAACATCGGGAAGACACTTGTCACCAGGACTCAAGGAACTAGTGAGTAGTGGGGTTTTACGCAGTAGAGGGAGATGTATTTGTTGCATGTGCTAACTCCAAATGAGACTTCATTAAAAAATTGCTGACAAATAGGTTTTACTCATATTATGAACCTGGAAGTTTTTTTAAAAAAAAAAAAGCGCCTCTAATGTTTTCTTAAGTTGACAGAGTTGTTTAAACTGATGAGCTTAGTTGTAGGGAAGTTAATGCGGTGTGGTCCTTGTTTGTGCAAGAGTACCAGACCACGGATATGATACAGAAGGACGTGCCTGAAGGTTCTAATGAACTGCTGTTGTGGAAACCTGATGAATTTGAGGAAAGCTAAGAATTAAGGAGTCATTCTGATTATCAGAGAAGGAGGTGAGGGGACTGTGGTCATAATAGGATCGTAAAGACCATCGCCTTAGGAGGGACTGAAATGTGAAACTTTTAGGTAAAGAGAGATCTCCGAGAGCTGGAATTGCTAACTTAATGGGAGCATATGTAGATGTATCACTGAACGCTAAAGGTTTTTTTTTATATAAAGGTTTTTTCTATATATATAGGAAAAGGAAGCCTCTGTTAGGAATGCAGGGTGATCTGGATAGAGGTACCTGTTTTTGGAAGGTTAGCTGTGTAGAATGGCTAAATAGTTGCATTATACTATTCTGGTTGCACTTACAGTTATGAAGATGATCATTAGTTTGAACTGTATACATGTGAAACAAGTGAAATAAGGGTCACTGTAAACCAGGTATGAGTCAGCCAGTGTTAAAATGGCTAGTTGTTAGAGGTAGAGCTGGGAAATGACTGCACTTAGGTGTTTGTTACTGCTTTATCTGTGCTGAGCGCAAGTGGCTTTTTATGTTTATCTCTTCATTATTGTCCATAATGTCCAAATACTTTGTAACCCCTTCCACTTTAAAAAAATAAAACAAACCCAAACTATTACACGTGCCGGAATCTGCAGTGTACTAGTATTTGTGTTCAGCATCTGATATAATTCTCTTAAAAAGATTCCTCACAAAGTTAACAAAATACGATATTTGGTTCTATAAGTTGATTTGATCTTGCTCAAGAGACACATAAACTTCAGAGCTGTGAAGCTAGTGGCATCACCTACTATTAGAAAACATCAAATGGAAGTTCAGTATGTGACTTGAATAATACTTTTCTAATGTTAACAAAAGGTGTTCTATTTTGTTCCATAACACAGAAATTGCCTCTGATGGCCTGAAGGGTCGTGTATTTGAAGTGAGCCTGGCTGATCTGCAGAACGATGAGGTTGCCTTCCGTAAATTTAAACTGATAACTGAGGATGTTCAGGGCAAAAATTGTCTGACCAATTTCCATGGAATGGACCTCACCCGGGATAAAATGTGCTCCATGGTCAAGAAGTGGCAGGTGTGTAAAGACCGAGGTCTGCGTTGTTGCTGGTGCCTTTAGGAAAGGAGGTAACCACTGATGCATTGCAAAGCTATGTTTGAAGTGGCATCAGCAAATATTAGTGAATGTCAGGTGCATGGTTTTGAGAAACCTGTCTGTCACGTTGATGATAAATGACCGTTTCTTTTGCAGACAATGATCGAAGCCCATGTAGATGTCAAAACCACCGATGGTTACCTACTGCGCCTCTTCTGCGTGGGTTTTACAAAGAAGCGTAATAACCAAATCCGCAAGACCTCCTATGCCCAGCATCAGCAGGTTCGACAGATTCGCAAGAAGATGATGGAAATCATGACCCGAGAGGTCCAAACCAATGACCTGAAAGAAGTTGTCAATAAGCTGTAAGCTTTGGCTGCGTTTTCATTTTTCTCCCTCACAGCTTAAGTAGTTAGTTGTTGGTCAGTTGTTACTGAGTACTTGGGGAACACTGGTGCTTCACGTACTGTTTGGCAGAGACCAGGCAAGGCGCCTCTTGCGTTGAAAAGCTGATGTGCCGTTTTCTTCGAATGTTCTCTTAGTCTCTGCA